ATTGTCTGTCATCTACAAGTTGTTCACTCGAGTCATCCACTAGATGGAACAGAACACTAGATGAAGGACAACCATGCGAGCAAGCCGGGTTCCGCAAAGGATTCAGCACCATCGACCACATCCACACAATAACCAAACTCATTGAGGTTTCTCGGGAGTTCAAGATGCCACTCTGTTTAACGTTCATTGATTTAAAGAAGGCCTTTGATTCTGTAGAGACGGAAGCAGTCATTGAAGCCCTAGCCAATCAGGGCATTCAAGCCCAATACATCAGGATCCTCCGTGAGCTGTATTGCGGATTCACTACCAGGATCTCACCATTCTACAAAGAAGTGATCGTTGATGTCAAGAGAGGGGTGCGGCAGGGTGATACCATTTCTCCGAAACTCTTCAGTGCCACCCTCGAGAACATCATGCGACGACTGGAATGGGAAGGAATGGGAGTGAAGATAGATGGTCGGCAACTACACCACCTCCGCTTTGCTGATGACATTGTTTTAATAACACCAAACATCAGCCAAGCGGCACAAATGCTGGCCGACTTTGACCGTGAGTGTGGAAAGGTCAGTCTACAGCTGAATCTTACGAAGACAATGTTTATGAGAAACAGCCTCGTTCCTGATGCCCCATTCGCTCTCAACGGAACGACCATCTCCGAATGCGACAGTTTTGTGTACCTAGGTCGAGAAGTCAACATGACAAATGACCTGGCACCCGAGCTGCGCAGGAGGAAGAGAGCGGCTTGGAACGCCTTCAAGAACGTCAAAGAAATAGCTAAGAGGATGAAGAACCTCCGGCTCCGGGCACATCTCTTTGATTCCACTGTTCTTCCTGCATTAACATATGCCTCAGAGACCTGGGCCCTACGCAAACAAGATGAGAACGCCATTCAGGTCTCCCAAAGAAGAATAGAAAGAGCTATGCTTGGAATATCACGTTTCACTCAAATGAGAGAATGAATCCGGAGTTCTGACATCCGTCGACGATCAAGGATCAGGGACGCTGTCTCATTTGCCAAGGTGTCGAAAATCAGATGGGCTGGTCACGTAATTAGATTTAAAGACGACCGCTGGACTAGAGCTGTTACTGACTGGATTCCACAGGATGTCAAAAGACCGCATGGCCGCCCACCTACCAGATGGTCAGACTTCTTCGTCAAGATCATGAACAATCAGTTTGAGGCTCTTCATGTTCCCAGAGCGAACAGATGCCATTGGGCTACACTAGCACGCGACAGGGACAAATGGAGACGTTACTGGCGCCCGCTCGAGCAAATCGACGACTAACGGGAAGTTAAGTGATTAAGTGATCGTCGGGTGTGACGCAAAAAAAAAAAAAAAAGCATAGATCCTAAATAACACTAACACCTGTATAGTGTTTTATACACGAGTATAAAAATGGGGCCAGGGATATAATACAGCAAATAAGGCACTTATTTCGAGGGGCTGAAGTGATAGCACAGCGGATAGGGCGTTTGCCTTGCATGCGGCCAACCCGGGTTTGATTCCCAGCATCCCACATGGTCCCCTGAGCACCGCCAGGAGTGACTCCTGAGTGCAGAGCCAGGAGTAACCCCTGTGCATTGCCGGGTGTGACCCAAAAAACAACAAAAAAAGGCTTATTATGCATGCGGCTGAACCTGGTTACTTGATTGAAGCTCATCACCACACATGGCCCTCAGCCCTACCATGAACGATCCCCCAGCACTATAAGTATGCCTCTAATAACACAAAACAAACAAACAAAAAGAATAAAAGCATGCTGATATGATTAAATATACACCCAGAACGTCCATGGGGGCGTTCAGCCAACATGGTTGACCCGGGTTCGATTCCCAGCATCCCATATGCTCCCCCGAGCACCGCCAGGAGTAATTCCTGAGTGCAGAGCCAGGAGTGACCCCTGTGCATCGCCGGGTGGGACCCAAAAATAAAAAATAATTAATTAAAAATTACCTAACGTCTTTCTAACATTAATAACAGGGCAAGGCCACAACATGCTAGTGATACGAGGTCATCCCTGAAGGGGGCCGGGGGAGGGTCGAACCCAGGTTTCCGCTGCTTGTGCCTGATCAGGGGAGCCCAGGGAAGCTGGAGAGGCTCTGTGTACCCACAAACAGTGAGAACAAAGATGCGGGAAACTCAGCGGCCAACTGCTCTCTTCTTCACCTTGAGCTTCTGGAAAAATCTAAATCCCTTTGAGGCCCAGATATCATAAAACAGGAAAGAATATGCGGAATAGCAAATAGCCTCATCTCCTGTGAGCTGTTCCAGGTCCCTGGGAGCCCCGCAGAGAAGAGACGGTTTGTCAGTTCACTTTGAAGGGGGCCTGGGAGATGTTGCAGGGTCTTAGGGAATTTGCCGGGCTGGTGTGAACCCTCAGACGCTGGCTGAGTCCCACCACCCGGGACCCAGGGAGGAGCAGCAAAGGAAACCACACACTCACACCAGGGCCAGAGAGACAGTGCAGGGCGCAGGGCACTTGCCTTGCACACAGCTCACCGGGGCTCCAACCCTGGCATCCCAAATGGTCCCCAGGGCAGCGACAGGAGTCACCCCTGAGCACCACTGGGTGTTGCCTGCCCTGAGAAGCCTGAGTCTCACCGGCCAGCTGACTGAGGATGCTGGTCCCTCACTAAGAGCCATTCAACTAGGTGAACGCAGGTTCCAAATAGGTGGGGTCTGGGGACCATCCAGGCACGGGCCTGGAGTATTTTAGGTGCTTAAGCAGCACTGGTGATGCACTCCAGAAGCTCTCGCTGCTGGCACTAGACTTCCAGGGGAGCTGCTATCTTCCTAACAGCTGCCAACAGCAGCTTTGCCAGAGTGCCCAGGAGTCCTGACCGCACACTGAGTCCCAGGGGGAGGCTCTCCTTGTCGCCCCTCCGGGCCAAGCGCAGGCAGGCAGGCCTCCAGCCTCGGGTCCCTCCTCTTCCCGGCCCCAGCAGGCGCAGGAGACCGGAACCGGGCAGAGCTGGGTCTCAGCGCGGGTGCAGGCGCGGAGCCCAGAAGTCTGGCTGGAGGAGCACTGCAGACTCTGCAAAGAGGAGGCAGCCCCACCCGACCTGCCTTCCAGAAGCTTCCAGAGGGGTGCAGGGCAGGGGCATCCCCCAGATGCACAGCCCTGTGGGACCGGTGGCACGTGGAAAGGAGCTGGCAGAGGTCACCCCAGGACTCTGCAGAGGGGGCCGGAGGTGGGGCCGGAGGAGGTGGGGCCCTGGCCCCCTCTGCAGAGTCCTGGGGTGACCTCTGCCAGCCAGAGCCGGTTTGCCTGCCCCACGCTCAGGTGCTGCCCGGGTGCCTCTGGCGGGGGCTGGACTCGGCCTTCTCTGCTAGCCTTAAAGGGGACTTCGCTGCTAGCCCGTAGGTGGGGGCGGAGTCAGCGCCGAGCCCGGACCCGTGGCCCCCGTATTCTTTTTGGCCGCTTTATTTTTTTCCCCACGCACCCTGGCCCCCTCGGCAGCCTCTCTGCCACGGCAAGCCCAGCTCTGGGGTCCACGGGCACTGACTTATTTCTTCCTTCCTTCCACGTGCGCCCACTTAAAAGACCTGTACCGGTCCGGGGCACAGCAGAGCGGGGAGGACGCTGCCTCGCACCCGTGCTCAGCCCTCCGCACCCCACCGGGTCGCGAGCCCCGCCCAGAACGATCCCTGGGCGCCGCGGGTGGGACCCCAAAATAAAAGACCAACAAAACAACCATCCCCCGCACCCCAGCCGCACGGGTCCGAGCCTTGGTCCGTGCTCAGGCCTCCCGGCACGCGGGACCCGCCTGTCCCCGGGAACCCGTCGGATGCCAGCGGCCGGCTCCGGAGGCGGAGGGCGTGGCCTGAGCTTAAGGGCGGGGCCTGGCTTGGGGGCGGGGCCTGGGCGCAGGGGCGGGGCTGCGCGGCGCGGCCGGGCCTGAGCTTGGGCAGGCGCGGACGGGGGCGCCTGCGCGTAGGAGCGTGGACTGGGTTCAGGGCGGGGCGGGGCCGGGCGCGGGCGGAGCCGGAAGCGGGGCGGTGGCCTGACTTGGGGGCGGGGCCTCCGCGGAGCCGGCGCGGCGCGGGGAATCTGACTCCGGGGGAGAAGGGCGTGGCCTGATCTTGGGGGCGGGGCCGGAAGCGGGGTGGGGCCTGACATCGGGGCGGGGCCCTCGCTGGGTCGGCGTGGCTCCTGCGCGGATGGGGCGTGGCCTGAGCTCGGCGGCCAGGCCGGCGCGGGGCAGGCGCGGCAAACACAGCCCCGGCGGGGGGCCGTGGCCTGAGTTCGGGGGCGGGGCCTGCCTCGGGACGGGCGCGTAGCGGGGAACACGGCTCTGGCGTGGGCGTGGCCTGAGCTCGGGGCGGGGCCTGCCGCGGGGCGGAACCGGCGCGGGCGGGCGCGGGGAACACGACTCCGGCGGCGGGGGCGTGGCTCGAGATCGGGGGCGGGGCCTGCCTCGGGCGGGGCCGGCGCAGGGAACCTGGACTCCGGAGGCGGGGCCGTGGTCTGAGTTCGGGGGCGGGGCCTGCCTCGGGCGGGGCCGGCGCAGGGAACATGGACTCCGGAGGCGGGGGCGTGGTCTGAGTTCGGGGGCGGGGCCTGCCCCGGGGCGGGGCGCGGCGCGGCGCGGGGGAACAAGGCTCCGGCGGCGGGGGCGTGGCCTGAGTTCGGGGGCGGGACAGGCCTCGGGGCTGGGCCGGCGCGGGGAAGAGGGCTCAGGGTGAGGGGCGTGGCCCGAGCTCGGGGGCGGGGCCCGCCTGGGGCGGGGCCGGCGCGGGAAACAAGGGCTCCGGCGGCGGGGGGCGTGGCTCGAGGCCGGGGGCGGGGCCGGCGCGGGGGACCTGGACTCGGGCGGCGGCGGGGCGGGGCCTGCCTCGGGGGCGGGGCCTGCCCCGGGGCGGGGCCGGCGCGGGGGAACATGGCTCCGGCGGCGCGGGCGGCGCGGGCGCGCGGGGCGGCGGGCGGCGCGGGGCGCGCGCTGGGCGGCGGCGGCGGCGGCGGCGGCGGCGGGCGCCGCTGAGCGCCGCTGAGCGCCGCTGGGCCATGGTGCTGTCGCGGCGGGTGCAGCCGCAGCAGGCGGAGGCGGCGGCGCGCGAGCCGCGGGGCCTGGCGCTGGAGATGGAGCGGCTGCGGCAGGCGGCGCGGGACCCCCCGGCCGGGGCCTCGGCCTCGCCGTCGCCGCCGCCGTCGGCCTGCTCGCGCCAGGCGTGGAGCCGCGACAACCCGGGCTTCGAGGCGGAGGAGGAGGAGGAGGACGAGGCGGACGAGGAGGTGGAGGGCGAGGACGGCGGCATGGTGGTGGAGATGGACGTGGAGTGGCGGCCCGGCGCGCGCAGGGCGGGCGCGGCGGGCGCGCGCGGCCGCGGGCTCGGGGGCTTCCCCGGCGCGGGCGGGCGGCGGCGGCGCGACGAGCCGGGCCCGCCGGGGGGCAGCCCCGGGCCCGCCGGGGACCTGCGGCCGCGCCACCGGCCCCGGGACGCGCCGCCCGCGCCCCCGGCCTGGCCCGAGAGGCTGCGACGCGGGCTCCGAGGTGAGCGCGCGCGCGCGGGCGGGCGCCCCCGGGACCCGCACCCCCGCACGGCAACCCCTGCGCCCCGCACAGCGCCCCCAGGACCTGCGCCCCCGGGACCCGCACCCCGCAACGCAACCCCTGCACCCCCGGGACCCGCACCCCCGCACAGCATCCCCGGGACCTGCACCCTGAACGGCAACCCCGGGACCCGCACCCCGCATGGCACCCCCGGAACCCGCACTTCCCACGGCACCCCTGGGACCTGCGCCCCTCACTGTAACCCTGGGACTTGCACCCCCGGGACCCGCACCCCCCGTACCTGCACCCCGCACAGCACCCCCGAGACCTGCGCCCCGCACAGCGCCCCCGGGACCCGCACCCCCGCACCGCAACCCCTGCGCCCCGCACCCCGCACGGCACCCCTGGAACCCGCACTTCGCACGGCACCCCTGGGACCTGCGCCCCGCATGGCAACCCCTGCGCCCCCGCACTGTAACCCTGGGACTTGCATCCTCGGGACCCGCACCCCCGGTACCTGCACCCCGCACGGCACCCCCGGGACCTGCATCCCGCACGGCACCCCGGGACCTGCACCCTATACTGCAACTCCGGGACCTCCATTCCTGGGACTTGCACCCCCTGGGACCTGCAGTTCCCGCACCGCACCCCCGGAACCCGCACACCGCACGGCACCCCCGGGACCTGCAGCCCCCGCATTGCGCCCCGCACCGCACCCCTGGTACCTACACCCTCTACTGCAACCCCGGCACCTGCATTCCTGGGACTTGCACGCCCCGCGACCTGCAGTCCCGCACGGCATCCCCGGGACCTGCACCTCGTACTGCAGCCCGGGGACCTGCATTCCTGGGACCTGCAGCCCCCGCACTTCACCCCCTCCCCCGGGACCTGCACCTACACCGCACCCCAGGGACCTGCATTCCCGCGCCGCCACCCCGGGACCCGGGCCATGGACCGGGTCCTTCCCTCGGGGACGCGGGGAGCAGGATTCTCGCCTCTTAAAGCGCGGTGGGAGGCGAGGAGGCCCGTCTGCAGGTCCCCAGCCCGACAGGTCAGGGCGGTGGCGCTGTCCGTCCGCGTGTCCCTGTATCCCGGGGATGCTTGGGGACCGCCCGGACCCGCCTCCCTGCGCATCCCTGCCGTGGTACCCACACCCGGCCTGCAGGGAACCTCCGGAGCCCTGGTCAGCTTTGCTAACTCCGGGCCGGGTCCGGAGGCCATTGCAAGGGAAGGTTCGCGGGGAGCTAAGCTTGGGAGTGGGTTTCTGAAGCCCCCAAAGGCACCCCTGCCCCTGAAGGTGGCCGGAATGGACCGTCTTCAGGTTCCTGTTTAGGAGGATGGGAAGAGCAAGCTGGATCCCGTTTTTCTGCGAGGCTTAGCCCGCATCATCCTCGGGAAGTTGTTCCTCTTTGCTTTGCTCCTCCAATGACCCACCTGCAAAAGTTTCCCCGTTGTTAGGAAATCTGTTACTTTTGCAAATCTTAAACCCCAAACCATCCAGCTGTTGGTATCGGACGGTAAGGGAGGCCAAGCCGGGTCTGCCTGATGATACTAAACAAGTTTCTTCGCCTCACTTTTTACATTAAAATAAAAAAACAGTCGTAGTAGTAAGTCCCTGATGGAGGAAAATTAGATGAGATGCGGTAAATTATAGCAAGTGTCAGAAACCATGTTCTGAGTTTTATAAATTTAAATCAAACACTCTAAATATTCATCTTGAGTATTCTAAATACTCATTCTTTTGCCCCAGAAAGGGCTTAATTTGATTCAGTGTGGTGGAAGACAGCCTATGTAGATGAGTAAGGTACCAAATACTTTTTTTTTTTTTGAAATTTAGAACTGTGTAGGTGATGCATGATTTTATTTTCTTTTTAATTTATTTATTTTTTGCTTTTTGGGTCACACCTGGCAAGGCACAGGGGTTCCTCCTGGCTCTGCACTCAGGAATTACTCCTGGCAGTGCTCAGGGGACCATATGGAATGCTGGGAATTGAACCCGGGGCATCTGTGTGCGAGGCAAACGCCCGACCCACTGTGCTATCACTCCAGCCCCGGTTTTATTCTATATGATTTTGTTTTTGCTTTTAAAAATCATGATCTCTGTGAAAAGTTTCTTGTAAGTGACAGTTAAGTCACATGAGTCAGGTTTAATTCAGTTAAAGCGTTTGATCATATACTTCACTCTTTGAATAAACTAGTGAATCGTAATACGTGCTCTTATTTGAGGATATTATCCAAATTTATTTAAACAAAATTTTCAGAAAATTTGCTTAGATCAAAATCCCCAGTCGGGGCTGGAGAGGTAGTATGGAAGGTCACGGCCCACCTTGGCTCAATCCCCAGCACCCCACAGGGTCCCCCGAGCACCAGGGAGTGATCCCTGACTGCAGAGCCAGGAGTAGTCCCTGAGAGCATCGCTGGGCGTGGCCCTGCTCTTGGGGTTGGGAGGATCCCTTGCCCGAGTTTATCCGTGGTCTGATGAACTGGAACGTGGACTCAGAACACCTGAATTACCAGAAAGCATGGGATCAACTCCTGCTTCCTTTAATGAGTGGAATCGCATCTTGCGGTCGTTGAGCGAGCGGCGTCTCTTGCCTTGGGCGGCACCGGTGTGGGCCACACGGTAGGCAGACGCAGACAGCGAAGCCCATGGCTTGAGCTGGACGTGCTCGGCCAGTGCCTGGACCGCGTACGCAGTGCCCGGGTGAGAAGCTAGAGTAGCGTGCGCTGTCGGAAGTTCGGGCCGCTGAGGTTTGGAGTCGTTGGGAATTCCCCTGCAGCCTTGGTGAGCGAGTTCATGCGACTCCCATGCCCTGGGCCTGGTTTACTGTGCAGAAGGGAAAGGGTGAACCCAGCCGCCCGCGTTCCTGCTTGCCCGTGGCCAGGATGGTGGGGGACTCTTAGCAGAGTGAATTGTCTATAGAGGGATGTTTGGGGCCCGACTCGGGACTGACATCCCAGGATGACCGGGAGCTGTGGCAGAGTTTGCGGGTAGCAGAAGGTGGGGAAAGGGGCCTGGGGTGGCCGGAGCACTGCCAGGGAGGCAGGGACGCCGGGGCCAGCAAGGCCACCGCCGTGAGGACCAGGAGGAAGGGGGCAGAGGCCCCCCGCACTCTCCAGACAGACCTACGCTCTGAGTTTGTTCTGCTCGTGGCCTCCTGGCCAACAGAAACTCTTGTGTGAGATGTCAAGGTCTCTTTCCAAAACTGTATTTTGTTTTTTTGGGGGGGCACACCCAGCGATGCTCAGGGCTGACTCCTGGCTCTGCATTCAGGGGTCCCTCCTAGAGGACTTAGGGCACCGTACCAGGTGCCGGGGATCAAACCCAGGTCGGCTGCGTGACAGTGTCGGCCCTCGAGTGTGTTCGGTTGTCCTTGTTGAAGTCGGGCCGTGCTTGTCCCTAGAGAGATACGGAGGCGCCCACTGTGTGTGTTTTCTCTCCTTTCATACCGGAGCCGTCCCAGAGCACTGCTGATGGGATTCCCCCCTTCCCAGTTACTCTGGGGGACCCTCACCATTTGCAGCACTCGATCCCTCCCCCCTCCCCCCGGACACAGTGTCCAGTGAGAAACGACCCCGCTTGTCACACGTTTCCCTGAGCTCGAGTCTGGCTCTCTCACGCGTGTTCCCAAAGCGCAACCCCGCAGTGCTGCGTCTCCTGCGTCCAGGGCTCTGCCGGCCGATGCTGGGGTCGCTGCCGCCTTTTAAACGGCTTCTTTTGACCTTCCCTGGGTTACTCCAAACCTCCCGTCCTTCCTTTCTTTTCCATTTCTGTTTGCGCCGTGAGTTCGAACAAACGTGAGTTTGTATCTTCATTGCTTTGGCACTTTTTTTTTTTTAACGGAGCATTGCTCCTTCTGGGGCTCGTTCTGAAGCTGCGCGAGGAACAAGGTGTGTGCGGCCAGCACTCACGGAGGCCACCCGGGTTCCGAGTGAATAGTGGGAGCCTCTGCTCGGGGGGGGGAGGGGGGGGAGCAACTGAAGGGGTAGGGGAGGGTCCCAGGAAGAACCATGCCAGACCAGCCTCGAGGCAGGAGCGGGATCTGCAGATGGGGCGGTGTTGGGTGTGGGAAGCCCGTGTGTGCTCCAGCAGGCTCGGGGAGCCCGGGGCGTCGTGCAGGGGGTGCAGGTCAGAGACACGCAGAGTGTGGCCGCGGGGCAGGGGGCCAAGCCCGAGCCCCGATGGCTGCCAGGTCGCGGGAGCCCGTCGAGAAGCTGAGTCCGAGGGCTTGTGTCTGTCCCCTCCCCGCTGAGGGCCCGAGGGCGGGACACGGCCTTCCTCTCCTGGGGGGCTCCCCACGCGGCTGTATTCCTAAACCAGACCCCCGGGTGGCGAGCGCCAAACCGGGGTCTTTCTGATGCCCAGGTGAGCACTCGGCCAGGCAGCGCGAGTCCCTTTGGGTTTGGGGACCTGCCTGGTGGAGTCCAGGCTGGGCCTAGAGATCCCAGTCCGTGTCCTTGGAGAAGTGGGGCAGGGCTGAGGACAGCCCCTCAGGGTCCTTCTAAGCATACACACGTGCACTCACACACCCAGAACCCTTCTAAGCACTGCGTACACACATGCACACGCACACACACACACACAGCACCAAGAGGTATACACACACCCCCAGACACACACATGCACACACACACACACACACACACACACACTGGACAGACACAAACACACCAGATGGGGGGGGTGATTGGGGGGCACACATACACTCACACACACAGGACCTTTCTAAGCACTGCACACACACACACACACACACACGGACACACACCCCTCCCGCTGAGGTGCTCACCTTCCGTGTTCCAACCCGGAAGTGCCAGCGTGGGACCCAGGCTCAGACCATGGGCCCCAAGTGGCAGAGACTCCGTGCCAGTAGCTCGACTCCACGACCTCACTCGCAGAGGTGGCCCCTGCCCACGAGTGTCCGGGGAGTGGTGCCCATCTGAGGGCCCAGGGCTAAAGGGGCCGACTCCCCCTCCCTGAGGGCCTATATCCGGCTGGGGGTGGGGAGGTGGATCCTCGTCCCCCGTGTGATGATGGCCACTGGGGAGCCCGGTCACCATGGGGCCCGGGGGCGGCTGCCGTCTCCCACCGTCCACTCGCTCCTTTCCGCTTGGGACAGCGCTTGCGTTCTGGCCACCCGCTCAGACTGCCCCCTTCCCCAGCCCAGCTGACCCACACAGCTCTGGGGACCGTGCATTTGGACGTAGTGTCCAGTCTGGCGCTGCTGTGACCTGGCCCCCCACTTAAGCCGCATCCTCCCCTCCCGCTCCTGGAGCACCCCGAGTGCCGGGCTCCTGGGCCAGTGGCCACCGGGGGACCAGGTGACACTGACCACCGGGGCCCAGCTGTTGTGCTGACCACACACAGCTGTCGCCCCAGAAGCAGTGCCCGAGCCCGGGCAGACCTTGGAAGGCACTTAGTGCCCTGGCCCCCAGGCACCTGCCCGGCCCGGCTTTAGCCCGTTAGGAGAAACGGCAGCAGGGGGTTCCCGCGGGGGGCGGGAGGGGCTGGAGGAGCGTCTCCGGGCAGTGCTGCTGGCACAGACGGAGCCCAGGGCCGAGCCGAGCCCCGCCGGGCGCCCTGCGGGTCAGACGCTGCCCATGGAGCGCCGGGCCCTGCCCTCCAGTGGCCGGGTCAGTCCCGGCTCCCAGGGGAGCGCGTTGGCCCTGCGACCCGAGCGGTGATTTTCCACGTCCCCCGAACCCGTCCTGACTCCCCTGTCCCGTGGCGTTTCCCCAGCACAGCCCCACCCCCGCATTGCTCGCGCGTGAGTAATCGGCCTTGGCACGGGCTCCCGCGTAGCACGGTGCGAGACACGCCGTGTCCTGCAGGAAGTCGGGACGGGGAGCCAGGGCCCCGCGAGCACTGCGGGGAGGGCCAGGACGGGGCGGCCGGAGGCTTCCAGGGAGCTGCACCGCCCTCTCCTCCCTCCCTCCTGCTCTCTTTCTCTCCCTCTCTCTCCCCCTCTCTCTCCCTCCCTTCCTCTCTTCCTCTCTCCCTCTCCCTCTCTCCCTCTTTCCCTTCCCCTCTCTTCCTTTCTCTCTCCCCCCTGCTACCCCCCTCTGTCTCTCTCAGGGCTGAGGTCATCTCCACGCCTCCGCCCAGCGCTTTTTCCGTCTGTGGACAGGCAGGACGTGGCCGGCCCGGGACCATCTCCAGGGCCCAGGGCGGTGGGGCTGTGGGTGCCCCGCGGGGTCTCGGCTATGACCTGGCAGAGGTGCAGAGCCGGGAGTGGGGGTTGTTCCGTCCCTGTGGGAGCCACGTTGGTGGGGCCTGAGCCGGACGGCAGGAGCACGCCCACCCGTGCAGGCCCTGAAGGCCCGGGAATGCAGGAGTGAGCCCCGAACACGTCCCTGTCCCCCAGACACTGGGACATCCGTCTGTCCTTCAGTGGGCCTAGGAGCACATGTGGTCGGGGGCCTGCCCTCCCTTCCTCCCCTCCCCTCCCCCCTCCTTCCCCTTCTCTGCCTCCTGAGATAGTTCTGGGGCTTTGCTCACTCCCCTGCCTGCCTCCTTGGATGCGATTCCTTCCTTCTAGCTCCTTCCTGCCAGAGCAGACTCTCCGTTGTGCGCGGGTGTCTGTGCTGTGAAGGGGCTGGAGCGATGGCACAGCAGGGAGGGCACTTGCCTTGCACACGGCCGACCCGGCTTCAATCCCCAGCATCCCATAAGGCCTACAGAGCCGGGAGTGAGGCCTGAGCACAGACAGAGCCAGGAGTCAGCCCCAAGCACAGAGCCGGGAGTCAGTGCTGAGCACAGAGCCGGGAGTCAGCCTTGAGCACAGAGTCAGGAGTCAGCCCTGAGCACAGGGCCAGGAGTCAGTCCCGAGCACATAGCCAAGAGTCAGCCCTGAGGAGCCCTGAGCACTGCTGGGTGGGCCCCAAAGCAAAGGCAGGTGTGTCTGGGCAGGCGAAGGCGGCGGCGCCCCCCTGGCGGCCTTGCTGCTCTGCACTGAGATGCCCACGACTTCTCTCTCTCTCTCTCTCTCCCCGGTTCGCAAGGCCTGTGGGGAACCAGCCTCATGCAGGAGGGCAGCGCCGACCGCGAGCAGTACCTGCAGAGCGTCCTCCGGGAGCTCCTCACCTTCCTGCTGTTCCTCATCGTCCTGTGCATCCGTGAGTGACCCTTCCTGCCCGCCCGGGATCACACTGCAGCAGTATCGGGGCAGGCACTTCCGCCTGTCACCGTGTCCGGGGAGAGGCGGGTGACGGCCTGCTGACCGTCCCCGAGCCAGAGGCACGGGGTGGGCCTGACCTGTAGAGGCCCCGAGCTCTGTCCGTGGTATCTGCCTCACACACACACACACACACACACACGCACAGGCTCACACACTCAAACACACACACTCCCACGTACACACTCACACACTTACACGTACACCCTCACACGTACACACACACTCATGTACACACTCATACGTACACGCTCACACACTCATGCACATACACACAGTCACACACGCTCACACACACTCCCACACTCAGTCACACACACACACACACACAATCATATGCTCACACACTTGTGCACACACGCTCACACACACAGGCTCACACACTCACATGTACACACACACTCGTACGTACACACTCACTCTAACACATACACAGTCACACACACTCACACACACACACATGCTCACACTCATACACATAGTCACGCACACACACGCACACTCATCGAACCTTCCAGCCACACAGCCAGACTCAGCCGGTACCACACAGAGTGATCCCAGGGTCTCCTGAGCACTGCCAGGGAGCCCCCCACCCCCAGCCGGCCAAGAGACCAAGTGAAAGGACCGTCGTGTTTGATTTCTTGACAAGAACCCTGCTGTCACTGGGCCGATGAATGTTCAGTCTGCGTCAGAACTGTTCTTTTAATCACCATGAGAGACAGTTGCGAAGCGGTCCAGGAGTGGGTTTCAGTCCTGCGTGTTCCAGCACCCGTCCCTCCACCAGGGCACGTTTCCCACCGCCAGTGTCCCCCGTCCCCTCCCGCCACCCGCAGCCTGCCTCTAGGGCAAGCGCTTTTCTTTCCCTCCCTCTCTCTCCCTCTCTCCCTCTCTCCCTCTCTCCCTCTGCCTCCCTCCTTCCGGGCATGACGGTTGGTCATACAGACACCAAGGGGTCATCACGTCTGTGATGGATCATTTCCAACTGTCATGGCCATAGCGGTCCCTTCTCTGTCCTCACTGCCCTCTCCCCCAGCACTTGAGGCAGGCTTCCAACCGTGGACCAATCCTCCTGACCCCTCTTTCTACTCTCCTTGGGTATTCATCTCTTCCTGTGTGTTTTTTTCCGTCCCACGAAAGACGGCAGTCATTCTCTGTCTGTCCCTCTCCTTCTGACTCGTTTCACTTACCATGATCCTCTCCATTTACAAGCAAATTTCTTGACTTCATCTTTCCTAACAGCTGCATAGTATTCCATTGTGTAGATGTACCAGAGTCTGTCCCTTCTCGGGCACTCGGGTTGTTTCCAGATTGTGGCTATAGCGAACAGCGCCGCAGTGAACATATAGGCACAGATGTCATTTCTGCTGTGCTTTTTTGCATCCTTGAGATATATTCCCAGAAGTGGTATTACTAGGTCATATGGAAGCTCATTTTCTCGTTTTTGGAGGAATGCCCATATTGTTTTTTTTTTTTCAAAAAGGCTGGACCAGTCGGCATTTCCACCAGCAGTGAAGGAGAGTCCCTTTCTCCCCACATCCATGCCAGCACTGGCTGTTCTTTTGTGCTTTTGGATGTGTGCCAGTGTCTGTGGTGTGAGGTGGTATCTCATTGTTGTTTTGACTGGCATCTCCCTGATGATTAGCGATGTGGAGCACCTTTTCATGTGCCCTTGGCCATTTGTATTTCTCCTTTGAGGAAGTTTTTGTTCATTTCTGCTCCCCATTTTTCTTTTTTTTTTTTTGATGGGGCTGGATGTTTTTTCTTGTATTTTTTTTTTTCCCGCCAGTGCTTTATATCTTGGATGTTTGGTAAATGTTCTTCCCCGTTCATGGGCTCTCTGTATTTTGGCCACTCGTTTCTTTTGAGGTGCAGAAGCTTCTTAGCTTCATGTGGTCCCGTTTGTTTATCTTTGCTTCCACTTTTTCCACTTGCACATCCCATAGGGCTCACCAAGCACCGCCAGGAGTGGTCCCTGAGTGCAGAGCCAGGAGTCAGCCCTGAGCATCGCCGGGTGTGACCCAAAAGCAAAAAAAAAAAAAAAAATTAATTAATTAATTAAAAAATAAAGCAGTGATCAGTGTTAGAGAACTTGGACAAAAGACAACCGAATGTCTTCTTGTATGTGTTCTCTCTGCAAATCCCAGAAAAGCGTTCAAGTTTCCCGTCCAAACCCTGAAGCGACAGTGTTGAGGTCTTTTCCGCTGTGGACAGGCCCGGGTTTTCTCTTGAGCACGTATTCTCTCCCTTCACGTTTTTCTAGACTTCTTTTGATAAAAACTAGTTTGAAAAAAAAAAAAGTGTTGAAGTATCATTGAAACTAGTTATTTTCTGTCTGTTAAGAGACATGGCTCAAGTTAAAAGGCAGAAAACACTTACAAATGGGTCCAGAGAGACAGTACAGTGGGAAGGCCTTGCATGCAGACAACCCGGATTCAATTCCTGGTATCCCATAGCGTCCCCCAGAGTCCCACCACGGGGGCTTCCTGACTACAGAGCCAGGGTAACCCCTGAGCATCATTGACTGTTGTACCCCTCCCCCCAAAAAATAATTATAAAACTATCACAAACCATTTCAATGTAACATATTTGTCAGAGCTACAAGCCAGGTCCTTTTTCTTTTTTTTTGTTTTTCTTTTTGGGTCACACCCAGCATTGCACAAGGGGTCATTCCTGGCTCATGCACTCAGGAATCACTCCTGGCGGTGCTCGGGGGACCACATGGGATGCTGGGAATCGAACCCGGGTCGGCCGCGTGCAAGGCAAACACCCTACCCGTTGTGCTATCGCTCCAGCCCCCTTTTTCTTTTCTTTTGCATTTTTTGGGGGGTCGTGGAGGGGATTATACCTACTTGTGCTCAGAGCTTTACTCCAACTGAGGGAACCAAATGGGATTCCAGGGATTGAACCAAGTTGGCTCTGCACATGGCAAGTGCCTTACCCACTGTATTATCTCTCCAGCCCTGTAACTTTAACACATTTAATACTAAACATTTCCCTAAGAAAAGTACTAGGACTTTAGTAAACATTTACCTGAACAGGAACTAGGACACTTGGCAGAGTAAAAACTGAAATCAAATGGGCTTTAATATTAAACTCACTAATCTTTCTAGAGGGATGGAGATGCGGGGACCAGAGGGTGTCCCAGGCTTAGTCAGGCGTCTGTTTGCTTGACCGGCCTCTCCCTGATCCCAGCCCCACGGGACATGACCCCACTGAAGGGGCGGGCACAGCGCCCGGCCCGGAGAGAGGACCCTTAGAGGGCTCCTGTCCTTGCCTGTCAGTGGGGGCACCGTAAGTCTTCTCCTTCAAAGTGGTGGGCTTTGGGTTGTGTTTTTTTTTTTGGGGGGGGGAGGACTTTTGGATCACACCCTGTAGTGCTCAGAGCTTACACCTGGTTTTCACTCGGGAATCACCCCTGGTGATGCTTGGGATGACCATATGGGGTACCGAGGATTGAACCCAGGTTGGCTGTATGCGAGCCCACCACACACACACACACCCCTTGTGGTGGTCTCTGAGCGTGCACGCACGCGCGCACACACACACACACACACACGCACACGCCATTGTGGCAGTCCTGAGCCCTCTGTGGCCCTGGCATTTATTAAGAGGCAACGCATTTTTAAATTACCGACTGGTTTACTTTCAGCTCTTTCATGTCCTGCGTTTGCACCTTCACAGTGTGTTGCCTCCTTGGCGCTTGATGGGTGGGCAGGGTGGGGAGGGGGTGGTGTCAGCTGCCCGGTCAGCCTTAGACTGACCAGGTGGGGGCGTTTCTGAGGCCGTCCAGCAGGGGGCGCCACAAGCTGCAAGCTTGGGACTTTTCAGACCCAGTCTGGGAAATTTCACCAGCTGTCATCCTGGGTTCTGAGAAGAGCGAGCACAGCGGGACAGGGAGATGCTTTCAAGTCAGTGTGTGTGTGTGTGTGTGTGTGTGTGTGTGTGTGTATGTAAGTGCGTGTGTGTGTGTGTGTGTGTGTGTGTGTAAGTAAAAGGGGGAATCCAGGCATGCTCTCTTTCAGTGAGTCTGGAGCTAGTCCGGGTGTCCAGTGCCTTGACCCCCACCCCCTGCTGGCCTCCTGGGCCGTCTTGTCGCCTCTCGTCACCCCTCGGGCCCAGAGAGCCGGTCACTCACCCGCAGGGTGGGGCAGGGCAGGCCGAGGGGTGGCCGTCCGCCCGGTGACCCCTGTCCTCTCCGCGCAGTGACCTACGGGATGATGAGCTCCAGCGGCTACTACTACACCCGCCTGATGTCGCAGCTCTTCCTGGACACGCCGGTGTCCCGGACGGACAAGGCCACCTTCAAGACTCTCTCGTCCATGGAGGACTTCTGGAAGGTATTGGCCAGGGGCTGCCACCCGAGGGTGGACTCCCACGGCTGCCTCCGTTCTGCCCACCGGGCAGCCCCGGGGGCGGGTTCCTGATCTGCGCTCTCAAAAAGCCTCTTTCATTTTGTATTTTATGTGGCTTTGGGGCCTCACCTGGCGGTGGTGCTCAGGGCTTGCTCCTGGCCGGGCTTGGGGGGGCGTTCCGGGAACCAAGGATGGGACCCAGGCCAGAGCCTGCCCTGCTCGACCGTGGCTCCGGCCCTCTCTAAAATTCTTTTTAAAGCTCGGAGCCAGAGTTCCTGGTGATCAGGGTGCCCGTGTCCTGGCCTGCAGAGCCCCGGGCCCCTGAGTCCAGCTGCTGAGATAACAAGAACCAGTCTCCCTCCCCCGGGCACACGGGGAAGGGGCCTCACCTGGCCTTTCCTGAGTAATGGATTTTTTTTTGTGGGAGCAGAGAGTTTGCCCTGGGCCAGCGACCCTGTACTTCCTCGGGGAGGCCCTGCAGTTCCCTGCACTTCCCAGGAAAGCCCTGCAGTTCCCTGCACTTCCCCGGGAGGCCCTGCCTCCCCTGCGGTTCCCTGCAGTTCCTATAGTTCCCTCCTGCACACAGGGCTCCTCACTTGGGTCTCGGTCACTCCCGGGCCAGTGAGGTGAATCTTGGGCAGCTCAGTTGAGTGTGTGCACACGCAGGGCGCCTCCACTTCCTCCCCAGGGCCCTGCACCCTGTGTTTGTGGCCACCGCTGCCGTTCGACTTATTCTTGCTTCTGGCCACACGCAGCCATGCTCGGGCCTTTTTCCCGGCTCTGTGCTCGAGGGGGTCAGCCCGGCCGCTACTCGAGAGCACTGTGCAGTACCCGGGATTCAGACTGGGGTCGGCGCAACCCAGGCAGGTGCCCTCGCCCTGTCCCAGACCAGGAGTCGCACTGGCCATTCCTCGCAAACGCACCCCGGCTGGGCGGTGCGGTGGGAGCCTCAGGGCCCGTCCCTCCACTGCCCCCGTGTGTCCCCCCTGCCCCTGTGTCCCCCCGCCCTCCGCGGCAGAGCCCTGAGCCCCGTGACCACCCAGTTCGCAGAGGGCGCCCTGCTGGACGGGCTGTACTGGGAGGCGCCGCCGGGCACCGGGCCGGACGCCGACGGCCACGGCTTCATCTACGCCGAGAATCTGCTGCTGGGGCAGCCCCGCCTGAGGCAGCTCCGCGTCCGCAACGGCTCCTGCGCCGTCCCCCAGGACCTGCGCGAGGAGATCACCGAGTGCTACGACGTCTACTCGCCCGCCAGCGAGGACCGCGCCCCCTTCGGGCCCCGCAACGGCACCGCGTGAGTTGTTCTTGCAGCCGGGGCTGGGGAGGGCTGGGCCGGGCCATGTCCCGTGGGAAAGCCGCCGCCCAAGGGGGTCCCGGGGACCGTCCACTTGCCCTGCGGCCTCTCAGCCCTCCCAGGGCCCCTCCTGCTCTGCTACCTCGCACCCGGGGCCAGGCCGAGCCCCACCATCCCTGCCGCTCTCGGGGTCTTGGGGTCCCGGCACCGAGGGGGCCCTTGGCTCGGCCCTGTGTCCCCCAGGGGCCCAGGAGTGACCGAGACCCGAGTGAGGAGCCCAGTGTGCAGCCAGAGGGGGGACCTGCCGTGCTCATGGCACCTTCCCCCCACGCCTCCCGAGACCCTCAAGTCCCACGTCTTCCCCCACCCCATGTGTGTGTCCCCACCAGCTGGACCTACTCGAGTGAGAAGGCCCTGAACGGCAGCAGCCACTGGGGCCTGATGGCCACCTACAGCGGCGCCGGCTACTACCTGGACCTGTCGCGCGTGCGGGCGGAGGCGGCCGCCCAGGTGGCCACGCTCAGGAGGCTCGGCTGGCTGGACCGGGGGACCAGGGCCGTCTTCGTGGACTTCTCCGTGTACAACGCCAACATCAACCTGTTCTGCGTGGTCAGGTGCGGGCCGGGTCTGGGCGTCCGGAAGAGCTTTTTTGTGTGCGTGGGGGGCAGGGTCACACCCGATGATGCCCAGGGGTTCCTCCTGGCTCTGCGCTCAGGAATTACCCCTGATGGTGCTCAGGGGACCCTCTGGGACGCTGGGAATCGAACCCGGGTCAGCCATGTGCAAGGCAAACGTCCTCCCTACTGTGCTATTGCTCCAGCCCTCTTTCCTTCTTTCCTTAAAGATTATTTTTTTGCTTTTTGGGTCACACCCGGCGATGCACAGGGGTTACTACTCCTGGCTCATGCACTGGGAATCAAACCTGGGTCGGCCGTGTGCAAGGCGTTTAAACACCCTCCCCGCTGTGCTATCGCTCCAGCCCCCGTGAAGAGGTTTTGCCTGTGTGCGCACACCCCACCCGCCAAGTACAGGCAGTGACCGCTGGGTTGGGTCTCTACCCCCAGCAGCCTCCGGGGCCCACTCATGGTTTTGCAGAGCCAGGCCCAGGGACACTGCCTCCAGGGAGCAGGCCCAGCTCACCCCCTGGCCAACTGCTGGCCCGCCCATCCTTCCCGGGCCATACGTGCCGGGGCCCTGGGCGCGCGTTCTCCGGGTTCCCGTCAAGTGTCTGGGCATTTGGCCGAGGGCGCAGAGGGCCTTGGCTGGGTCAGCTCCAGCGTCACTAGAGTCAGGTCGGCAGAGGGAGGCCGGGCGGGAGGCCCTGTCTGAACCCCCACGGTCTCGCCGCCGGGGGCTCCCGTGTGACCGTGGATCTGGGTCTGCACGCAGGCTGCTGGCCGAGTTCCCGGCCACGGGCGGGGTGGTCCCGTCCTGGCAGTTCCAGCCCGTGAAGCTGCTCCGCTACGTGACCACCTTCGACTTCTTCCTGGCGGCCTGTGAGATCGTCTTCTGCTTCTTCATCCTCTACTACTTGGTGGAGGAGACCCTGGAGATCCGCATCCACAGGCTGCACTACTTCCGGAGCTTCTGGAACTGTCTGGATGTGGTGATCCTCGTGGTAGGTCCCGGGGGACGGGGGGTGCCCGCAGGCAGTGCTCGTCTGGGTCTGCCCGAGCACAGCAGTCGGGGTCCAGCCCCGCTCGCCACTTCCCCGTGGCCTTGTTGCGCTCGGCACGGTGAGGGCGGCTCGTGTAAGGTGGGCTCAGCCTCCTGTGCGGACGGGGAAGAAACCGCGGTTGATGCTGCTTTTGACAAGGGCTGGTAAAAAACAGATTCTCCTTTTTCTTTTTCTTTTTTTTTCTTCTTGGGTCACACCCGTCGATGCTCAGGGGTTACTCCTGGCTCATGCACTCAGGAATTACCACTGGCGGTGCTCGGGGGACCATATGGGATGTTGGGAATCGAACCCGGGCCGGCCATGTGCAAGGCAAACGCCTTCCCCACTGGGCTATAGCTCCAGCCCCTGATTCACCTTTTTCCGCGTATGCATAAAGCTTGGGCAGGAAGAAGGAGGGTGCTAGTGTGAGGAGGGCACAGAGACCCCCCCCCCCCCCCCGTGCCCTTCCCTGGTCGGGGCCTCACGGCTCCCCAGAGGGAGGCTGAAGGGTGGGCGCCATGACACAGCCAGCCTGGCGGCCTCTGCCCCGCCCTCGCTGACCTTGGGGCTTCCCCTTTGTGGCTGGGCGCTCACCTGGGGAGGGTCACTGCAGCTTCTCCTCAGCATGCAGGGGGTGTCGCCTCCCCCCCGAATTGCTCTGCAGAGAGCTCAACTTTCCCTCACTGGTTTGTACCACACCCAGCAATGCTCAGGACTCGCTCCTGGCCGGGCTCGGGGGACCCCATGGGATGCTGGGGATCGAACCCGGGTCGGCCGCGTCCAAGGCAAACGCCCTCCCCGCTGTGCCCTCGCTCCAGCCTCAGCTGTTCTTTACTCCATCCGCCTGGCAGGGGCCGGTCACACGCTCTGGCTTTAGACCGTGGGCCGCCTGGGCGCAGCATCCCGCGTGGGCAGCGAGACCTGAGTCGGCAGAGGCAGAACCCGAAGGCTTTCTCGCTGCCGGCCCAGAAGCGTCAATATTGTCATCTCGAGCCCAGGCACATCGTCCTGGAAATCGCTGGGCGAGGCAGCTGAGGCCTCCCGGGAAAGGAGAGGGCGCCTTCCCGCGTCGGCCCTTGGGTCCTCGCCCGCAGCCCCCTGACTCGGGCCCTGTAGGGTGCCCTGTGCCCCAGGCTTCTGCTGTGAGGCCCAGCTTTGCCGGGACTTCCAGGTCCCCTCTTGGTCCCGTCTGCTCTCTGCAGACCAATGCCACCAGCCGCTCGGAATCGCAGGAGACTCTTAGTCCAGCCGCAAGTCGGGTGCTGGGGATGTCCCTGGCCAGCGCTCCTGCTCGCCTATCTAAGCCCCTCCTGATAACGCTCCCAGGCCCACCCTCAGGAGGCCTCATCCGAGAGCCCCAGAGGAAGCTGCAGTGTGGCCATGGCCCTGCTGCCCACGACGTCTTGTCGCTTCTGTTTTGGTGTTTAGAAAGAGGAGGCTGGAGGAAACTCGGCCATGCGACCCCGTGTAAGCGGCCAGATGTGCCCTGTCTGGGGTAAACCTTGTCCTGAATAACAGACACTGTCATGCGTGGAGAGTCTGGGGACTGCAGGCTGCTGCCCGGCTCGGTCCGTGTGGAGACGGTTTTTTCCCCCCAGTTCTATTTTAAGGGCCTGAGAGGAAGTGAGCCTGGCACCGTCCCACGGTACAGCGTCGGCCCTGGAAACTCTGCAGGCAGGATGGGAGGCGGGGAGGCTGCCCTTCCGCCCACGGGTACTGGGAGCCGGGCAGGCGGGGACTCGGTCGGGCCCAGTCACAGGCTGTCGGGAGGGCAACCCACAGGCCGAGCACTGAGCCAGGAGGTGCTCCCGGGCCCCGAGAGCCAGGACAGGAATGTCACGGCGCCTGACAGGCCCCTGCAGAGGCGTCCACGCACATGGACCTGGCTGGACGCAGGCCCTGGCAAAGTGGACCTGGATGGGCCTGAGCAGGGGGGCCTGGTGGGTGGCTCCCCTGAGCCCCTCGCCCCATTGTTCTGTGTCAGTTCCCCCTACCGGCCCTGCGCGGGGGCCAGCCACGATTCCCAGGGCTCCGTGGATTTGTCTCGGCCTGTCTCTCTGGTTAAGCCCAGGGGTCCTCGGGGCTTGGGTGGGACTTTTTTTTAATTATTATTCACGATCACGGTCCTCCTGTTGTTCATCGATTTGCTCGAGCGGGCACCAGTAACGTCTCTATTGTGAGACTTGTTGTTCTGTGTTTGGCATATCGAATATGCCACAGGGAGCTTGCCAGGCTCTCCCGTGCGTGTGGGTGAGATACTCTCAGTAGCTTGCCGGGCTCTCCAAGAGGGGCGGAGGAATCGAACCCGGGTCAGCCATGTTGGCTGCGTGCAAGGCAAATGCCCTACCGCTGTGCTGTCGCTCCAGCCCTAATTATTACTATTTTTTAATTAATTCATTCATTTATTTTTGCCTGTTTAGGACTTATTTATTCCTTGAAATAAGCAACTAGCATTATTATGAAGCTCATGGCTAGAACTTACTGGCAAATATGAGTTCTTTTTTTTTTTTTTTTTTTTTTTGCTTTTTGGGCCACACGGGGTGATACACAGGAGTCACTCCTGGCTCTGCACTCAGGAATCACTCCTGGCGGTGCTCAGGGGACCCTATGGGATGCTGGGAATCGAACCCGGGTCGGCCACATTCAGATGCCCTGCCCGCCGTGCTCTCACTCCAGCCCCACTCAGCTCAGGTCCAGCTTGACTCTGGGCTGGACCTCCTGCTCCCTGACTCGGAGCTGGGCCTCTCTGCGTGTCGGATGGAGGACGGGCAGGGGAGGGGACGCCGTCGGGGGCTGGGGGCGTGTCTGAGACCCACCTGGGGGAAGCCAGTCTTGGCGGGAATGCGGGGCTCCAGCGGGAGACCCCCACAGTGACGGCCGGCCTGTGTTGCAGCTGTCAGTGTTCGCCATCGGGATCAGCGTCTACCGGGCATCGGGCACTGAGGGGCTGCCCTCGCGGCTGGAGGAGGCGGGCGCCCTGCCCTGCCTGGAGCACCTGGCCTACTGGCAAGCCCAGCTCAGCAGCCTGGCCGCCGTCATCGTCTTCTTCGTCTGGATCAAGGTGAGCCACGACTCGCAGGCCAGGGTCTCAGGGGTGTCTGGGCCCCGGATCTTCCCTCCTGATGGCAGGGGAGCTGGGTGGGGCGTGGGTTCTGGGTGGCGGTCGGTTGGTCAGTTGGTCAGCAGGGAGCCCTCTTAGGTTCCTCCCGGCTCTGCTCAGGAACCGTCCCCCGCAGTGCTCTGGGGGCCGTCTGGGGGCAGAGAGGATGAACCACCTGTGCCCAGATGCTCTGACCCCAAACCACCTTGTCTGTCTGACCCCCTCGAGGGCTCGGGCCAACACCCGGTGATGCTCAGGGGTTCCTCTTGGCTCTGCACTCGGGAATTACCCCTGGCAGTGCTTGGGAGACCCTATGGGATGCTGGGAATCGAACCCGGGTCGGCCGCGTGCAAGGCAAACGCCCTCCCCACTGTGCTCTGGCGCCAGCCCCTTGAGTTTGCTTTGGAGGCCGAATCCACGGCTGTTTCCCGAGGGGAGCTGGATCCACTGCCCAGGACAGGTGTCTCTGCGGGCCTGAGGACACCGGCTGCTCCGAGTCGTGGCTGACCTGGGGTGACCGGGGAGGCGGGGAGTGGCGGGGAAGTGGGCGCGTTGGAAGAGCAGGGCCCCAGCGGTGCCAGGGAGAGGCCACGAGGAAACCTTCCAGCATTCACTGGAACTGGGGCCGCGGCCAGCACCTTTTTCCAGGTAGAGCCGTGTTGCCCCATCCCCAGTGCCCGGGTCCACGTGTGTGAAAGGTCGCGCGGCATTGCCTCACGGGGACAGGGAACCCGCTGACCCAGCACTTGCCCAGGCGGTAGCCCTGCCCCTGCGGAGCTGCCCACAGCCACGGTGGTCAGGTGCTCTGCCTGTTTCTGGTACTGCGTGCGTGCGTGCGTGTGTGTGTGTGTGTGTACGCGTGTGTGTCTGTGACCGGCTCCGGGACCAGCGTCCCCACAAGAGCACCCGTAGCTGCTCCTCTGCCGGGGTCGTGGAGGCCGGGAGGGCCCGAGCCAGATGTGCAGAAGGTGTCAGCCTGGTCTCTGCCCGCCGGCACCTCCGAGCCACCCGGGCCTGCCCAACTCAGGTGGAGCGGTCAGCAGCGTCAGGGTGTCCTCCAGGACAGTGATGGCTGCAGGAAGTATTAGGAAGGGGGAGAACGAGCCTCAAGAAATCACACCGAGGCCGGAGGCCTGGGACAGCATGTGGGGCGCTGGCCCCGCACGCGGCCGACCTAGGAGGAACCAACCCCTGAGCACGGGGCATGGCCCCAAACAAAACAGCAAAGCTGCGGTGTGGCCAGAAGCTCGTTCTGAGAGGCGTGTGGGTAGCGTGGCAGCGATTGCCCGCCCGTGACTGTCTTGTGCTCAGCGGTCAGCGCCCGCGCCCCACCCCGGAACCAGCTGGCAGGGCACGCGCCGACCCCAGCTGCGGAGGGAGCCCTGGTTCCTGCCAGCCGGGTGGGCTCTGGCGCAGGGAGACACGGAGCCTGCCTCGGTGGCGCGTGGTGACTGGGCAGGTGGGTGAGGTGGGCAGGGCGCTGGCGCTGGCGGGCAGCCCACCTCTGGCCTGGATCTCCACCTGAGCCCTCCCCAGTGAGGGAGAGAGCACGGCCGCACTTCTGGAGGGTGGCTGTGGTTACAGCTTTCAGCAGTGGGTTTTGTTTGTTTTTGGTTTTGTTTCCTTTGATCACTTCACTTCTTTTTTGTTTGTTTTTTGGCTCTTTGGCTCACACCCGGGTTACTCCTGGCTCATGCACTCAGGAGTTACTCCTGGCGGTGCTCGGGGGACCCTATGGGATGCCGGGAATCGAACCCGGGTCGACCGCATGCAAGGCAAACGTCCTCCCCGCTGTGCTATCGCTCCAGCCCCTCATTCTGGTCTTTATCAAGGGAAAGATATCGCTGGTCATTTGAATCCTAATTCAAGCCGGCTCCTGGACCCAGCAGTCTGGCCGTGGGCTGAGCGCAGGCCGGACCTGGGGTCCCTGCGTGCCAAGTCACGGCCATTCACGGCCCTGGGAGCTGCACAGGCAGCAACCCGCGTCCTTCCCGGGCCCGACTCCTGTCGCAGAGCCAGGGTGCCGGCAAAGCCCGTCTCGTGGCCCTGCCTGCGTGAGGGGCATGCCTCCGTGGGTCTGGGGCCAACCAGTGTCCCCCAGGCCCCGTTCCTCGCCGACATGGTCCCTCCCGCCCGCCGCAGCTCTTCAAGTTCATCAGCTTCAACAGGACCATGAGCCAGCTGTCCACCACCATGTCCCGCTGCGCCAAGGAGCTGTGTGGCTTCGCCATCATGTTCTTGGTCATCTTCCTGGCGTACGCCCAGCTGGCCTACCTGGTCTTCGGCACGCAGGTGGGCGACTTCAGCACCTTCCAGGAGTGTATGTAAGTACCCACGGAGCTGAGGTGGGAAGCCAGGAAGGGGGACGCGGAGGTCATGGCAGCCGTTACACGGCCAGCGCTGGGGACGGTGGCTTCGAAGGACGGGGAGCTTGTCCCTCCCCAGCCGGCTGCAGATGCCAAGGGCAGCACTCACTCGGGGAGGGAACGGATGGCCGGAGCCAGGCAGCACTGCCGCCGGACACCCAGAGCGGGGGGAGGTTGCTCTCCGGGAACACGGGCCGGAACGGCACTTGCCTTGCACGTGGCCGACCTGGGTTCGACCCCCGACATCCCGTAGGGTCCCCCCGAGCACAGAGTTAGGAGTTACGTCCTGAGCATCGCCGGGGATGGCCCAGAAACCCAAAAGGAAAACCAAACCGTTGGCCTGTCCTTCTTCTTCTTCTTGTTGAATCCGTTGCCCTTGTTACAGAATCCCCGGTTGTTTTTTTCAGTGGTGTTTTCGAAATATTGGGAGGAACGGGATATGAATTCTTTTGTCTTTTCAAAATTCTCAAAGGTGAGAATAAAAATGGCACCAAAACTAGCTCCCCTAGTTGGGTTGGGTTCATTGCCCGAGCAGTGAGTGGTCAGGAAGGAAGGGCACTCGTGCCTGGAACTCCAGTCAGTGCTCTCAGCTGCAGTAGGATAGCAAAGAGCTTTTCCAGGTGGCTCCTGGCAGCTCTGGAGACCACCTGGGGTGCCGGGATCAAGGCCAGATGGGCAGCGTGAAGGCCAGCGCCCTCCCAGATCCACTGTTGCTCTGGCTGCCCCAGAGCCGTCTTGGAGACAGTCTGGGCCCTGTGGGGACTGGAGACACAGTGTCTGCCGGGATGATCACTGGACAGCTGACCGCCTGGGACCCTCTAGCGGAGCCCGTCCCCCCCCCCGCCCCGCCCGAGGGGGAGCCCCCTATAACGAGGAAGCCGCGTCTGTCCTCGTCTGGGGGGTGCAGGGCCGGCGCCGGACTCTGCCTTCTGTTTCTGCATCGTGGTGCCGTGTCGTGTTTCGTTTTGTTTTTATAGTTTCACTCAGTTCCGTATCATTCTGGGGGATATCAACTTCGCGGAGATCGAGGAGGCTAATCGCGTGTTGGGACCACTTTATTTCACTACATTTGTGTTCTTTATGTTCTTCATTCTTTTGGTATGTATATTTTGGTTTACGGGCGGCTTTGCAGCTCTGCCTTTCACGAGTCGCCGTCATATGCCGCTGTCTTTCCTTTCCTCTCGCACACCGTTCGTTCGTTCCCTTGTGTGTTTTACTAAAGACCGCGGCAGGAGGGGGCGTGGGGAATGGAGGTATTTAAATATATGTGCATATATATTTTTTTTTAATTTCTCATTGATCCACAGCTTTCACCAAATCAACAAATGTGTTCTAAGACCTTCATGTGTACACACACACACACACACGTCAGTGTATGTACGCGTATCGATTCAGAGGGGGAAAAATCATGAGTCGGGCAGACTTGCAGCCACCTGCAGGAAAGCCATCCCTGGAAGACACTGCGCCCGTGTGTCCCTGCTGGCCTGGCCTTTCTTCCTCCTCCTCCTCTTCCTCCTCCTCACGGAAGGGGGAACTGACTGGGCGAAGGGGGTTGAGTAGAGGGTTGCTCAGCAGGCCACCGGGCCCGGCCGGCTTCTCTGCTTGGCTCACCTGCTCCGCCCACGGCCCTCAGGAATGACTGGGTTCTGCCCTCCCCCGTCCCCCCAATAAGAACCCACTTCAGCCCGTTTGAGATGTCAGAAGACCGATTCTGGTGCTCTGACCTCAGACCTGGAAGGAAAGTGCTCAGTCCACCCCCACCCCCAGAATAATCAGCTTTCCTTCCCCCCACATTTTTAATTAAAGCGCCACAATTTCCAAAGTATTTCCCATAGTTGAGATTTAGACACGCAATAGCGCAGTGGCAGCTTCCCTCCACCAGAATGGTCCTACCTGACGTTCCAGACTGACCTTACGGTAACCAGAAACCGCTTTTGATTTGTTTTTCAAAAACTGTGTGTTTCGGGGCTGGAGCGGTAGGGCATTTGCCTTTCACATGGCTGACCTGGGTTCGATTCCCAGCATCCCATATGGTCCCCCGAGCACTGCCAGGAGTAATTCCTGAGTGCAGAGCCAGGAGTAACCCCTGAGCATCGCCGGGTGCGACCCAAAAAGCAAAAAAAAAAAAAAAAAAAAAAAAAGCAGTGTGTTTCTCTCTGCCATATACACATTGTCATTTTTTTTTCTTTTCTAACATTTGAACCTACGCTGATTCTCTTTTTGCTTTTCAGTTCCGTTATCTTTTTTGTTTTTTTTTTTAATTTTCGTAGTCACCACGTTGTGGACGATTGGGTTTCAGTCATACAGTGTTCCAGCACCCCCGTTAGTTTAGTTTTGTTCTGTTTTTAACACATTGGGCTGGGGCTGGGGCTGGGCTGCTTCTGGACCTCTGGGTCCTTTTACCACATGTGGGACGCAGCCCCGATGAAGAGGGAGCACTGTGAGTAGGGAGCGCCCGGCCCCGGGCAGGGTTAGCGCAGGCACGAGGGGAGGCACTTGGCTTCTCCCGTGTGCAGAACACACAGCTTCCCGGTTGCTCATCTTCCGCTTGAAAAGGAGAGCCCTGAGGCATGCAGCTTGGGCAGTGCCGACCCTGCTGGGCCCCGGAGTCCGTCCCCCCACGACGCTGCTCTTGTCTGTCCCCCACACTCTCCCCTTTCCTCTCACAGTGGTATTCGGAGGCACAGAATCCCACTCCGTGTTGGCTGCTAGAATTTGAAGAGCAGCTTAGAGTGCCCCAAACCCAGAAGTCGATGTCAAGTCACATGTAACAAAAAGTGTAGAGAACGTGCGTGAGCAAAATTAGTGAAATTATCCCACCATTCACGGATGCACACGTTAAATCTTAACTGGTTTTGATTATTGTCTCTGGCGACAAAAAAATTTTAAAAAAGGTCACTGTATAATTTTGTAAGAGAAATTAATTGTCGCACTTGTTTTGGCTCATCTTAACAGAAAAAATCATTTACCCACAGAATGTGGTAGCAAAACAATTTGTGGCTCCTGGGAACAGTCGGATTGTCTTGACGATGAACAGAAAGGCAGGAGCGGAATTTTTGGGTGGATATTCGTAAAATAGACGTTGTATGCAGGCTTCTCCTTTAGTCACTGCCTTCCTATCATTTATAAACAGAATATGTTTTTGGCCATCATCAACGATACTTACTCCGAGGTTAAGTCTGATTTAGCCCAGCAGAAGGCTGAAATGGAGCTCTCGGATCTTATTCGAAAGGTAGGATGAACCCTGATTGGTAAACGGTTTTATTTATTTTTTTTAAACACCACGGTTTAGGGCTGTTCATAGTACAGTTGTCTGAGGTACTCGGTGTTCTGGCACCAATCCCCCCCCCCAACCAGTGTCACCATCCCTCCATCCTGTCCCCTTAGGACGCACCAAAAAAATTTTTAAGTCAAATTACTGGGCAAATGAAATTATCAAAATGGCAAATGGAATTCTCAAACAAAAATAAAGAGGGCCAGAGCAATAGTGCAGCCCGTAGGGCGCTGGTCGTGCATGTGGCTGACCCTGGTTCCATCCCCTATGTCCATATAGCCCCTGACCCATCAGGGGGGATTCCTGAGTGCAGAACCAGGGGTCAGCCCTGGGCACTGCCAGGGGTGGCCCCAAAATTTTAAATAAAAGTAGATCCAATAGGGGGCCGGAGCGATAGTATAGTGGGTAGGGCATTTGCCTTGCACATGGCCAACCCGGGTTCGATTCCCAGCATCCCATAGGGTCCCCTGAGCACCACCAGGAGTAATTCCTGAGTGCACAGCCAGGAGTGACCCCTGAGCATCGCCGGGTGTGACCCCAAAAAAAGCAAAAAAAAAAAAAAACAGAGACAGTACGGGGGTTAAGGCACTCTCCTTGCATGTGGCCGACCCCATGTCAGCCCCCAGAGCCCTGCCAGGAGAGATTCCTGAGCACAGATCCAGGGGTAAGCCCTGAGCACCACCAAGAATGGCCCCAAAAATAAAATAATTGAAGGACCGAGTGCGACTGCAGTGGCTAAGAAATTTCTCATCTTACGGGCTGCCCAGCCGGGTTCTATCCCGGCACCTCTGGTTCCCTGAGCCTGCCTGGGAGTGATCCTTGACACTCCTGGCGTCAACCAAGCCCCTACCCAAATAGAAATACAGGGGTCTAAGGTAGGGGAAAGTCAGGGTTTCTCTGGTTTTGCTTTGGGGCCCGCCGAGTGCTTGGGGCTGCGCCCACAGTTCTCGACCAGCCTGGCCCTGTGACCCAGAGGACGCTTGGAAGCAGGTATTTTTTGTCATTGGTACAAAATTCCCTTGACCTTTAATGGAATTTGAAAAAATAATAAAATAAAGACCAAAGGGCCAGGTTCGTGGCTCGAGGCCACCGTGTCCAGGGCCTGTGGGGCCCGACTTTGTACCTGGCCCCAACTTTGTACCTTCCCAGGAAGTGCCTGATTGTTCCCCCCCAGGGCTGGGCAGGAAAGCGGCCGCTTTGTTCTGCCTCTAAGCGTGAGCTCATTCTTTGGTCGGAAGCACGAAGCAGGGCCCATAAAGAGCCGCATCAAAGCGCAGCTTGTCCTCAGCGGCACCTCGCAGGACAGTGACCGCTGCTGTCCACGCCCCGGCCGTCGAGGACGGCTTTGAACTCATCAGAAACGCTCGGGAGGGGCCCAGAGCCCCATGAGCCCGGAGCTCTGCACGCCTGCGGTTCTGCCGGCAAAGGCCGCGCTGCACGAATTTGGCATTGCAGTGGAATCCACCTGGGGCCCCTCCTGCAGGCCCGGGAGCCGTGCGCAGTGCCAGGGGCCAGCTCAGGGCCTTGTGCTTGCCACCTCAGCTGCTTGGCAGGACCTGCCTGGTTTCCTTGTTTGTTTACAGAGGAATGAAACACTTGAATAGTCGAAGGGGTTTTGCGGGGTTTGTTTTTTTTATTTTCTTTTTGGGTCACACCCGGCGATGCACAGGGGTTCCTCCTGGCTCTGCACTCAGGAATGACTCCTGGCAGTGCTCGGGGGACCCTCCGCGATGCTGGGAATCGAACCCGGGTTGGCCGCGTGCAAGGCAAACGCCCTACCCACTGAGCTATCGCTCCAGCCCCAGTATTCAATGTTTCTGTTGCTTTAAATTTCAGTACGCAACGTCTGAATCCTGCGGTTTTTATTCCCCTGTAAAATCATAACTGACACCACGGGGGCTTATGGTTGTTTCCAGAAGGCCATGTGGCAGCCGAAATGGCCCCGTTGGTTGCTCTGCCCCCCCTCCCCCCCACCCTCGTGCAGCTCAGACCGGGCCTGCAGCGTCCGGCAGAGGAAACGCGTCCTAAAGCGTCTCCGGAAATCACTGCAGTGAGACGAGATTGGAAACGAGGATTCTGAGGTCCCCCTGGGACAGGGCTGGAGCGGTCGCACGGGGGTTCAGGCACGTGCCCTCCTTGCGTGCAGTCCACCCCAGTCCCACCAGTTACAGGATGGAGCACTGAGCCTGGAGTCAGCCCTCAACCCCCCCCCCCCCCCCCCCCAGGGTGTTGGACTGAAGCAAACGGAGAATCATTGCCCGGCCCATGCCCAGATGGACAGCCCTGGGCGCATGGGTCCGTGTCCCTGCAGCCCGGCCTTCAGCTATGTGGCCACGGTGCCTGCAGCCCCTTCACTGAGGGGCCCTGGCCCTGGTCGTTGACGCTTCCCGAGAGGGTGGACAGGGCGGGGACGTGTCCATCAGGCGCCCGGCACAGGGCCTCCAGCAAACCCGTCTCTCCCGGGCCGCAGGGCTGCCACAAAGCCTTGGTCAAGCTGAAGCTGAGGAGGAACCCCGTGGACGACGTGTCCGAGAGCCTGCGGCAGGCGGGCGGCAAGCTGAACTTCGACGAGCTGCGGCAAGACCTCAAAGGGTGAGGGCGCGGGCCCGGAGGGCGCTGCTGTGGACGGGCGGGTCTGGTCCCCACATGGGCCCTCGGCACCCCCAGGAGGGACTCCTGAGCATGGCCGGGTGTGACCCAAAAAGAAACCCCGCCAAAAAACCTTCATTTCTTGGGGTCCTGGGCCGCGCTTCATGGAACAATGAACTTGGCACACCTGGGACCCTCCTCCCTCCCTCCAATTTGCTTACTGCCTTCCCACTCCTGAGCTCGGCCGCTCAGAGCCACCACTTGCTTCCAGGAAGGGCCACACGGACGCGGAGATCGAAGCCATCTTCACCAAGTATGACCGGGACGGGGACCAGGAGCTGGCAGAGCACCAGCAGATGAGAGACGACCTGGAGAAGGAGAGGGTGGGTCTCCGCCGGACCCCGCGCTTCAGGCTGCCGGTGTCTGTCTGTCTGCCTCTCCCAGTCCGTGTGTTTCCTCCTTGCTTGCTCCAAAACCACGTAGGGACGCACCAGAGGGAGGCCGGGGCCATCGTGCGGCGGGTGGGGACTTGCCCTGCTCCCGGCCAGCCCAAATTCGAGCCCTGGTACCTGATAAGGTCCCCAAGCCCGCCAAGGGGGTAGCTCTGCACAGAGCCAAGAATGAGCTGGGCACCCCCTGGTTGGCCAGAAAGTCGATCGATCAATCAGTGGTTTCTCCGCACCCGAGCACACCCACGGGGGCCGAGCTAAGGAGAACAAGCGTGTCTGCTGGGCTGAAAAGTGCCTTTCCCGAGGGCTCCTCCATGAGGGAGGTTGACCCGTCCCGAACGTGAGCAGAAAGACGAGGGCACCGTCTGCACCAGGCTCCTGGCACCACTCTCCCTTGGTGCCCGAGGGAAGCCGGGCCCGTGGACGCGGGGCGTGTGCTGAGCCCTGAGCGTGTCGTCTGGAGCTCAGACGTGTCGTCCCGTCCGTCCGTCTCCCGGCCACAGGGGCTGGTCCCCCTTCACGCGCTTCTCCGCGCTGTGACCTTCCCGTTCTGTCGAACTCTGCCCTGACCCCGGCCCCGTGTCCCCCCAGGAGGACCTGGACCTGGGCCCCAGCTCCCTGCCCCGCGCCCTGAGCAGCCGCAGCTTCCCCCGCAGCCTGGACGACTCGGAGGAGGAGGAGGACGAGGACAGCGGCCACAGCTCCCGGCGCCGGGCCAGCATCTGCAGCGGCGTCTCCTACGAGGAGTTCCAGGTGTACGTTCCGGGTGGGGGCCCCGGGACGCGGCCTCAGCCTGGCCCCTGCGTGTGGCCCAGAGGGAGGGATCGCTCCCCGGCGCGCAGGAATGTGTCCGGGAAAGACCGTTGGCTGACCGCTAGGATCGCTCCTCCTCCCACCAGCCCAGACTGTCGCTGACCGTTTGGGGGTCTGTCTGGGGGTGCTGGGCTGTTCCCGCTGTTTCCGTTGGGACAGCTGTGGTGCAGCCCAGTTGGGCCTAGGACCCCCGGGACAGTCTGCGGTGCAGGACAGAACCTGTGTGTCTGTCTGTCTGTCTGTCTGTCTTGGCGCCCGACCACTGCTTTCTCCTTTATTTCCTGTAGAAGCATTCCTTCCTTCCTCCTTTCCTTAAATTGTCTGCCTGGAGCCGCTGCAGAAGGGCTGCGGGTCGTGGTTCTGTTCTGGTTTTGTGTCCGCAGCGTTGAGGGGTCACTTGGGCTGGGCTGGAGCCTGGGCCAGGCGTGTGCGAGGCAGACCACCCATCACGGCGGCCCCTGCACTCTCCCAGCTCTCCATGCATGAGTCTCGCTCTGGCCGAGATTTCTGTCTTAGAGCTTAGAGCACACTGCGTGTGGCGTGTCCGAGTCAGGGCGAGGAGCCCAGGGTCTCTGCTGAGCGGAGTTTCCCAGGGTTCTTGGCCGTGTAGCCCAGCGGGAAGGGCGCTTGCCTCGCACACTCCCGACCCGGGTTTGATCCCCGGCAACCCATGCGGCTCCCCCGAGCACTGCCAGGAATGAGTCCCGAGCACAGAGCCAGGAGGATGCGGCCAAAAAAGACACCCCCTCCCCCACGATAGTCACGTTCCCCGCCCCCCCCACAGTCCTGGTGCTGCGCGCCCCCTCCCTGCTGCCGCCCCCCACACCCCCACACCCTCCGCCCCGCGTCTCCTGTCCCGCAGGCTGGTGCGACGCGTGGACCGGGTGGAGCACTCCATCGGGAGCATCGTGTCCAAGATCGACGCCGTGATCGTGAAGCTGGAGATCATGGAGCGGACCCGGCTCAAGAGGAGGGAGGTGCTGGGCAGACTGCTGGACGGCGTGGCCGAGGTGAGGGCGGGCAGGGTCCGTCCCTCCGTCTGTCTGTCTGTGGGTGGGTGGGAAAAGCTCCTTCCCCCCACAGCCACGGGTCCCTGCGGGTCCCAGGCTTTGCCTTTTTTCATTTTTCGCCCCTCTCCGGGGGCCAGAGGCCACACCTGGCGGTGCTCAGGGCCGACTCCTGCTCTCGAGGGTGCTGGGGACCCCCCCTATGTGGGACGCCGGGGCTCGAACCTGGGTGGGCCGCATCCAGGCAGGCACCTCCCGGGGGTCCTCGTGGGCTCCTCCTCCCGGCAGTGCCTGCAGGCCCAGGCGGGAACCGGACCCTCGCGGGTGGCCTGGCCAGGGGCTTGTTCTGTCCTGTCCCACTCGCCGATGCTCAATGCCCGGCCCCCCTCCCCACCCCCTCGTTTCTCTTCCCTCCCCCCAGGACGAGCGCCTGGGCCGTGACAGCGAGATCCACCGCGAGCAGATGGAGCGGCTGGTGCGTGAGGAGCTGGGCCGCTGGGACTGCGAGGACCCGGCCGCGCCCCCGGGCCCCACCGGCCAGCCACAGCCCCCGGCCTCCCCGGCGCCCTCCGCCGACCCCGACCCCCGCGGCTAGGGCCCTGCACCCGCGCTTTAATTTATTCTGGGTAGGAACCGCCAGCCAGCAGGGCGCGCCTCTCAGCACCAGGGGTGGATACCGGGCAGTGCTCCCGCCACCCACTAGGGCTCCCACAGTGCTCCTGAGCCCCTCCTGCTCTGTGCTAGGGGCACCCTGAGAGTGCTCCCAAGTTCCTGTTCTGTGCTAGGGGCTCCCGACAGTGCTCCCTAGCTCCTCCCACTGGAACACCCCAACAGTGCTCCCGGGCTCCTGCTCTTCTGGGGCACCTGACAGTGCTCCCAGGCTCCTCCCGCTCTGCTGGAGGCACCCACAGTACCCACATGCTCCACCCGCCAGACCTCGCTGGCCCTGAGCCCACTGTGGGCTTTGCCCCCCGTGTGCGTCTCCACACGCCCGGCACAGCTGTCGGGGCCCAGCCATCATCCAGAGGCCCCGGGGGAGGACTCCAGAGCCGGGATTGGGGTCAGGGCGGATGGCCGGCACGCTGCCTGTTCGTGCTTTTTCCGTCCCTGAGTCTGCGGGGTTGATTCTCAACTGTGACCGTGACACAGTTTTCAGTCTTATTTAAAATGAGCTTCACGGAAACCCCCGCGACCAAGTCTGGGTTGGTCCCGTTCCTTCCCTGAGCGCAGAAGCGGGAGGAGCCCGTCACCTCATGACGTTCCCTGCTCACGTCGTGTTCATTCATTCATTCGTTTGTGAATTATCTCAATGCGAGTCTCTTCGCTGGAGGCTGCTTTGACATCACGATCCATTATGGAGACAATGTACGACGATATTCGGCGTGCACTGAAGGTTTTAACTCAGCAGATAACTTCATCTCAACAACAAAAAAACGTTACGGGAGTCTTGAAATTCACAGAAGAACAGGAAACCAAAGTGTGCACCCGCGAGCACTCCGGGCTCCGGAAACGCTCACCGTCAGACCGAGCCTGGAAGCGGGAGAGAACGTCGTCCCCCCCTCACCCCCCACCCAGGTGCCCGCCAGGGTCTTGGCAGCCGCGGTGTCTTTCCACTGTCCTACATTCCATTAGAAGGGGGTCCGGGGGAAGAAGCCCACTCGTCAGTTGTCAGATGCTGTTCCCAAGTGTCCGATGACTCCCCGGGTCTCGGGGCAGCTTTGATTCCCGCCCCGTTCGCTGGAGTCGTCGTCAAGTGGAAGCCCGGGGTCAGCGCCCACGGGGGCGCCCCTCCGAGTCTCCCCATGCCCCTTCTCTGCCCCTTCCCACCTTCCGAATATGCTACACAAAGCGCTTTTATTAGCCGGTACCCAAGTTCCGTTTTGGGAATGGAACTTCCAGTATCTGTATTTATATGTATGTGCATACCACGTTCCTCTATTTAAACAAACTTCGATTTGAAGGGCATCGTGATGTGGGATCCATATATGCCGACCGTGTACCATGTATCAGTTATGGTCACTACCAAGCCGTCCTAGGATATTGACTGGTAGACTGATTTTTTGGTGTCATCTGTAAAATTATGCAAAAGTATTTCCTTTTAACCGTGAGTTATATTTTTCTTTTCTTTCTTTTTTTTTTTTCTGTCAGGAAAATTCCCTCCTTCCCCTCCCTATCATCTTACCATCTACATTAAGATGTTACATATGCAAATGTTTCTTGATAATCGAGGATCTCATTCATGTGTAATATTGAGCACTTTACTTTTTAATAAAGACTTGTTGTATCAAAGCTGGTGGTGTCGCTGTTCTCTAAACGTGTCTGGTCAAAGAATCGAAGAGGATTTGCCCTGAGCCATGAGGGAATAGGAAAACCTCATCTTGGAAAAAAAATCTCTGTCTCGTGTCTGTCTCTCTCATTTTGAGAGCACATACCATGCTTCCTCCAGGGGATCCCCTCTGCGGGGTCTCTGGGGACGGGTGGGATGCTGGGATCGGGTCCAGGTTGACTGCGTGCGAGCCAAGTGCCCTCCTCGTTCCCCATCATATTCGCTCTGACCCGGCTGATCCAGCGCTGTTTTCTCCTGCCACACCTGGCAGTGCTTGGGGATCACTCGTGGTGGGCTCGGGCGACCATATGGGGTGCTGGGGGTTGAACCTGGCTGGCCGTATCCCAGGCAAGTGCCCACCCTGCCCCGTGTGGCCTCCCTGGCCCTGCCATCTTCTCGTGTGCCCCAAAACATGACGGACCCGTTCTTCCGTTTTTACACCAAACGCACGCACGTGTTGGGTGACCAGTCAGTCTTCCAGGAGGGAGCTGCTCTATGCCCGGTGGTGTCCGTTCAGCCGCGCTGAGTAAGAGGATTCCCGGGCACATGGCATGCTGGGTGTGCTGGGAGGCTGTAGCAGCAAGGAAGGGGGAAGGGGTGTGCGATCTGGAAGGGGGAGGAGGTGGGGATGCAGGGAGGAGGAGGGAGAGTGTGCAGGGAGGAGGAGGAGCTGAGTGCAGGGAGGAGGCGGCAGGAGGGGCAAGGGTCCTTCCAGGCCCTGAGCACCGTGGCTGGCTGTGCCAGGCTGAGCCCGTTGCTGGGTGAGGCTGTGACGGGAGCTCAGGAGCAGGTGAGGGGCTGAGCCACCCGCCACCTCTTGGGTGAGCGGCTCCGGGGGCTGTTGGGAGTCAGCTGGCGTCCACTGAGGTGCTGCCCGCAAAGGCCCCGGTCCGGCAGAGCCAGGATCCACTCCACGCCCTCGAGCACGGCGGAGCTGACCCCTCCCTTCCGGTCCAGGTGGACGCTCCTGTGGGGTCGTGGTCCCGTTACTCTTCAAAGGCCGCCATGAGGGGCCAGAGCCACCGCACAGCGGGGAGGGCATTTGCCTGGCACGCGTCCGGCCCGGGTTCGATTCCCAACATCCCATATGGTTCTCCGAGCACCGCCAAGGGTAGTTTCCGGGTGCAGAGCCAGGAGTAACCCCTGTGCATCGCCGGGTGTGACCCCAAAGGAACACCGTCAAACACTGTCCTCACGTTGTTCATCGATTTGCTCGAGCTGGCCCAGTAACATCTCCATTCTGAGACTTGTTACTGTGTTTGGCATATCGAATACGTCACAGGGAACTTGCCAGGCTTGGCTGTGCGGGCGAGATACTCTCAGTAGCTTGCCGGGCTCTCTGAGAGGGGTGGAGGAATCAAACCCGGCTCAGCCGGGCTGGCTGTGCGTGAGGCAAACACCCTACTGCTGTGCAATCACTCCAGCCCCCAAAGGGAAAACAAAACAAAACAAAACAAAAACAAAAAGACCGCCATGAAACGGAGAAGTTTTGGTCAACCTGGCTTTGATACCCGGCTTCCCGTAGAGTCCCTCAAGCACCGCCAGGAGTAACTCCTGAGTGCAGAGCCAGGAGGAACCCTTGAGCATCACTGGGTGTGACGAAAGAAAGAAAAAAGGAAGGAAGGAAGGAAGGAAGGAAGGAAGGAAGGAAGGAAGGAAGGAAGGAAGGAAGGAAGAGGAAGGAAGGAAGGAAGGAAGGAAGGAAGGAAGGAAGGAAAAGGAAGGAAGGAAGGAAGGAAGGAAGGAAGGAAGGAAGGAAGGAAGGAAAAGGAAGGAAGGAAGGAAGGAAGGAAGGAAGGAAGGAAGGAAGGAAGGAAGAGGAAGGAAGGAAGGAAGGAGGGAGGGAGGGAAGGAAGGAGGGAAGGAAGGAAGGAAGGAAGGAAGGAAGGAAGGAAGGAAGGAAGGAAGGGAGGGCGGGAAGGAGGGAGGAAGGACGGGAAAGAAGGAAAGAGGAAAGAAAGAAAGAAAGAAAGAGAGAGAGAAAGAGAGAGAGAGAGAAAGAAAGAAAGAAAGAAAGAAAGAAAGAAAGAAAGAAAGAAAGAAAGAAAGAGAGGGGGGCTTGCATCTAGAGCAGCAGCACTGCACTCAGTCACCCTCACAGTGCTCTCGAGCCACATGCAAGACCCCCTCCTGCCCGCCCAGTCTCTGAAGACTCAGCTCCTCTCCGCAGAGGGGAAAAACCGTCTCCCTCGCCAGGAACAGCTGCTGCTGCTTTCCCAGAATTTTCTCCTCTGTGTGCATGCAAGCAGCAGAGGCAGGAGGCAGCCGGAGCATAACCAGGCACTGCTAGGCTACACGGGGTGGGGGGGGATCCGCGAACCTAGCGGGCACCAACGCCCACCCAGGACCGGAGCTTCGGAAAGGGGAGGGGTGGCTGGCGCGGGGGTCCCCACCCGGACATTTGCACGCACGGGGCAGGGCTGTGGGGAAGTTTGCACCGGCCGACCTGCAGGAGAAAAACTCTGGAAGAACGCTGGTGGGGGGGTGGGGGTGGGGGGGAGCTTGCACACACGGGGAGCAGCTGTGGCCTCTTAATATTTTTAACTTCATCCTTTCTCTTGCGGGATTTGCACCCGTACTGAACTCAGAAATAAGACTGGGCGTGGAAGAGAAACAGCTGAGCTGGTGGGACCACGCAACGCTGCGGAACCCCGGCACCTCACGCTCTCCCAGGTCAATCGGGGGGACGCCCGAGCACCGCCCGGTGTGGCCACGCCACCACCAAGAAAAATGGAGCTCTTGGGGACAGCTGCGTACAAGAGAAAGATACAGGGCGCTGGAGCGATAGCACAACGGGGAGGGCGTTTGCCTGGCACACGGCCAACCCGGGTTCGATCCCCTGCATCCCATATGGTCCCCTGAGCACCGCCAGGGGTGATTCCTGAGTGCAGAGCCAGGAGGAACCCCTGTGCGTGGCCGAGTGTGACCCAAAAGGGAAAAAAAAAAATCAAGCTGACGCAGGTTTACAACTGGGAAAACGTTCATGTCTTAGGGGTACCCCCTCGCCCGTCTCTGGGACCCTTCCCTCCCAGCCCCGCCCCCTTAGGCCACTTCGGCTGTCACCCCAGACTGAGGGTGTGTCTGGCTGGACTTGGTCTTCCAGCCTCATTTTAGACACCGCACGAGTGAGGCCCACCCCCGCCTCACTCCCCGGGACACTGTCCAGCTTCCCCCAGAAACAGGCAAACATGGAGTTCCCTGTCCCCTCTGTGGAGAGGCCCATCCCCCCGTCCCACACCCCCACTCCCCACGCCTCGTGAGAGTCCTCCCTGAAAGGGAAGGGCCTGTTTCATCTCACTTTCCTCTAAGGCTGACGAGGTTCCATGGAGCTGCAGAGAACGGGTCTCCTGGGGATTTTCCTTTTCCTTTTATGTTAGGGGTGGCACAGCCAGTGGTGCTCAGTGCTGACTCCTGCCTCTGTGTTCAGGTCTCCAGGGACCATATCGGGGGGCGGGGATCAAGCCCAGATCCCCACTGACCTAGGTTCAATTCCCAGCTTCCCATATGGTCCCCCGAGCACCGCCAGGAGTAATTCCTGAATGCAGAGCCAGGAGGAACTCCTGTGCATCGACGGGTGTGACCCAAAAAAATAGCAAAAAAAAAAAAAAAAAAAAAGACCAGCATAAAATAATCTCTAAATCCCTTTTCCTTTCTAGCTCCTGGGGTCATTATTTCAGGCTCACGCATGTATCTAGTATCTGTTTGAATTCTGACCTCTCACCCAAACCCCTGACTGCATGAGGCTTACAAATCCTCCATGGTACTTACGGTCCTTCCTATTGTGACCCTATTCTAGTCTTCACAAGTATCCTTCAAATCCTCTTTGACTTTTTTTTTTTTTTCAGAACCAACAAAGCTATTTGGGGCGTACTTTTTTGATACAAGTCAGGGCTAGAGTGATAGTACAACCCCGCCAGGAGTAATTCCTGAGTGCAGGAGTAACCTCTGAGCATTGCTGGGCGTGAACTAAACACAAAATAGAAGAACAAGTTTGGTGGGTTCTGACGGAAAAGACACAGAAAGAAGACTTTTTTTGCAGACTTTATTGGGATTGTATTGAATTTATTGATTAGCTTGAAGAATAAGCATCTGGGGCTGGAGCAATAGCACAGCGGGTAGGGCGTTTGCCTTGCACGCGGCCAACCCAGGTTCTATTCCCAGCATCCCATATGGTCCCCTGAGCACCACCAGGGGTAATTCCTGAGTGCAGAGCCAGGAGTAACCCCTGTGCATCGCCAGGTGTGACCCAAAAAGCACACGCAAAAAAAAAAAAAAGAAAGAATAAGCATCTTTATCATTTCTGCCGATAATTTCCACGTATTCAGAATTTCCTTAATGGCCTCCGTTTCTTGACATATCTTAAAATCTGGGCTGGAGCCATAGGGCAGGGGGGAGGGTACTCGCCTTGCATGTTGCCAGCCTGGGCCCTTTCCTGCCACCCCGCATCGTCCCTGAGCCTGGGGGTAGAGACAGGAGGAAGCCCTGAGCAGTGCCAGGGGTGGCCCCCAAACCAACAAAAACATAAAAGATCTCACACTTTTATTTTATTTTTTTAATAATGTAGGAATACTGCTGTTTGTTCAGCCATTGCTTAACTGATTGATTGAATTGGGCATGAACTCTACTCAAACTCCTCTTTTTTTCTTTTTTGCTTTTTGGGTCACACCCAGTGATGCACAGGAGTTACTCCTGGCTCTGCACTCAGGAATTACTCCTGGTGGTGCTCGGGGGACCACATGGGATGCTGGGAATCGAACCCGGGTCGGCCACATGCTAGGCGAACGCCCTCCCCACTGTGCTATCGCTCCAGCCCCACTCAAACTCTTCTTAAATACCACAGTTCTTGTGCTGGAGCAACAGCTGAATGCCTGAGCCTTGCTGATGATGTGGGCGTGACCCCCCAGGTGCCAGGTCCTGAGCCCCCAGGGGCGGCCCTTGAGCACAGGGTGAGGAGTAG